AAAGCTCGACCAAAATCCCCATCGAATGCTGTGCCCTGAACGCATTACGTAGTAACTTAGATGGAAAAGAGATGAAGGAATGGTTAGGTTCACTGAAGGGCATGATCGAAATGGAAACTAAACCGTTGCGAAAACCCCGTCCACTAGAGCAACCAAAACATCTTTCTCACAACGCTGTGGTGAGGAGAGCGCTCTAAAATTAAACTTAAAGACATAAGCAATGATAATTTGGTACTTGCTCAAAAATAGTAGCAGGGGTGCTATACAGTGGGGATGCTATATAAAGGGGGAAAATGACCTAAAAGCGAAGTTAAAGATCCAAAAATCTGCGAAAAAACATTTGGTCTGCACGGCATTGGACGAGCATTTCCGGACGATTTTCCCGTTGCTATCGCGCCAACAACCGCTAGATGCAACTGCACGTATGTATTCATATATCTTTGTAGTAACGCTACATATCAGTTGCACTTCATAGATAAAGTGGGCAGCGTCTATGTGGCCCATTGTGAGCGGGCGAAAGCGGTGGAAGTGTTACAGCTTGATGGGGTGCTATAAGGCTATTTTATTTGGCAAATGCGCCCTGGAGCGCCTGCTCAGGGGCACCAAATTTTGTTCTGCTAGGCGTATTTATCCTACACGCCTTGTGGATTAATCCCTTTAAGAATAGCCCGTGATGACCCGATAGGTGGAATATTTTCCTTGTACCAGCAGTTGAGTCCGCGACCTCAGAGTCACTTCGCCCCACAATGAGTGATCAGGGAACTGTGAGCCAAAGCTACGCACCCATTATATCCATATTTGAATTACTATTCTTTTGAATTTATTTAAAATAAATCGGTGAAAAGCAATAGAAAACTGAAAATGAGAGAGGAAACCTTGCATTATGAGCCATAACAACGCGACCTTCTACTCGAAGGAGGGGACATTCACGACTACTTGCGGAAATTAGTCCTTTCTCCTTATTCCAACTGGGAAATCAGTTGAGAAAATGAAACGAGAATAAACGAGAATGAAATGAAATGAGTGTGAAGGAAAAGAGATTACTTCGCCTTTTTCGGTCGCAAGCGACATGCTGTTATGTAAACTTCATCTTCAAGGAACGATTAGTAGCCTCACTATTATAATAATTCCATGGGATCATTCTATTCCTCATGTTCGCAACTCATCAATCGCAATCTCTTCGAAAGCGAGGCCCCATGACCACATCCTCTACTCCGCGATACTAATACATATACTCTTTTCCTGAAGTGCGGCAGGGGCAGGCGGTCCAGGCAGTCGTAACTCTTCGCTAGATGGCGCGCGGCGATGGACGCGGCGTTTCTTAATTTAGCCTGTCTACCGGAGCACAAAACTACGGCCTAGCGAGATTTATTGCGAACTTTCGTTTTCAATTGTGTATTGTGGCGCCACCCTGAACGAAGAAAGAAAGCAGCTCCGTTCATTCCGCGGTGCGGCGACGTCCCGCACGGCGAATGCCTCCAGTCATGATTGTCGTGACAAATATCTGGTACAAGGCGCATTTATTCGTAAGGCCACGAAGACTCTGGCGACAACTCGCGCGGGAAGCTCCTAGACTAGAAAGCAGTTTAACAAGTTACCAATCTTTCTTACCTTTTTTTATGCATATCTGTCTTTCAATGGTTTTTCAAGTTCCTCAGGTCCAAATGAGCTGTATTACGCAAAAATAGAATCATTGGAAAAAACACAAAGGGAACCGCTTTGCTGCTAGGGGATCAAAGTCTACTGCATGAATACGACCCCTCACCATCGAAATTTGCCCCCTTCATGGAAATACGACCCCTCGTCCCCATCTTGCCTTTCGATCTAACGCATCTTCTTATACTTTTCCACATATTCTGCTAATTTTTACGAGCCATCGCGTTGACCAAAATTCTACCCGCTGCTAGAACCCCAAATGCACAGACGTCTGTCGCTGGCCCCTATTCATAGGTACGCACTATGTCCCAGAAAAATGGAATACATGTTGACGGCATCACATACACTCACAAGGGTCGTGCCGCGTGACTTGTAAAGAGAAATATATCGGGCATTCGCCATATATGGTAATTTTAACATTCATAAACCGATAAGGCGACTCAAATTGACAAATATTTACCCCGAATATCTCCTGGAATCCGTTGACAACTTCTGCTGATCGATGGCATTTGAAGGTGAAGTTATCTTTGGGGTTTGTGGTCTCTACATAGTGAATCCCAACACGGCCTGAAAACAAATATTACTCTCTTAAGAATGCAGAGATGAAATCAGAACTTCTTGTAATGGTGGGTATTACATTAGAAGAATAAGCGGCACAGTTTGGCTTGGGTGGAGAAGGGGGAGGGAGGGGAGGGGTGGACATTTTGCAATCTCTCTACTTCCCAACCTATGAAATCTGTGAAGCCACAAGTTAGAACCACCCAAAGTTTGCCGGAATTAGCTGTAAAAGCTTGCAGACAGTACCTGTCAACTTTTGTAAAACAATGAATTTGTTGGTGGGAAGTCGCGAAAGTGCAAAATAGCCCTCCCCCCAAGCCGAACTGTGTTGCCTAAACTCAGAGAGCACGCTGCTCTAATGACGATGCTGTTCGGTGTTTATTCAGAAACAACCGAGATGCTTTGACTGGATTCCTTTCAAGCCTAGCGGCGAAAAATAAAGTTGTAATCATCGCTTGGGAGGCGAGAAGCGGTGCAGTGGCAAGTGGCAGGCTCGCCATGCGCGGGGGTCGAATCCCGGATCGGCTCCAGCCCAGGCCAGCGAAGCCCTTTTCCTTCGAGGACGGCAAATTTTTACCAGATTCGTCTGGGAGGATACGGACAGTGACTTCTAAAGGCTGGTCCCGCAATTCATTGTATAGGCCACATCGCACCCAATGAGCCATTACGATTCTAAACGGAAGTATGCCGCATCCCATAAGGGGATTGATTAAGGGCGAAGACTTTGTCCTTTCATTTTAATCATCGCTGGCAGAAGAAGTTTACTGAACTGGTGAATATAGAAGATCCTATGCCATTGAGTCAGTATATGACGCAACTCTTTCGCCCAGAATTCCCTAGCACACCCATAACTAGGAAATAGGCTACCCTT